AGTCACACCAAATATTTATGAAGTGTTAAAAAAGATGGGTGATGTAACACAGTGGTAAACATGCTCTTGTCCCAACTTTTTGGAATGTGTTACAGGAATCAAATTTTCTAATCAATGTATTATGTTTTTAATTAGCATATCTCACTTTGGCTTCATTTTCTGTTGTTATGCCATCCACTAAGGTATTATTTTAAATCAGAACTTACTGCAGTTTTAACAGTTTGAATTGTTTATTCCTCAGCACCCCACAGATCTTCTCCAATCCAGAGCCTCCCAGTTTACTGTCACTCAGATCCAGCTCTATCAGGTGTGAAGGATTTGAACAAAGAGCTGATGATAGAGCAGCACAGCCTTCCTCTGTAATACTGCTCTTATTCATCCTGCAAACAGAGAGAGAGAGAGAAAGAAGAAAAGCTTCAGTGATTGGATGACTGATACATTTTTGTATATGTATATAACATTTGTTTCTTTTTCTTATTTTCCCTTTTGTTTCTTAATGCCGGACTGTAAAACACTTTCAGCTACATTTGAACATAATGAAAGGTAACATAATAATAATAATAATAATAATAATAATAATAATAATAATAAAACACCTGTGAGACCTGTGACTTTTTTATTTAATTCACAATCCAACAATAGTTGATAAAATAGCAAAAATACTAACTTAAGTTTCTGAGTTCTGCAGTGTGAATCCTCCAGTAGATGAGAGATCTGCTTCATATGTGAATCTCCTTGTATTTTCCCACTCAGATCCAGCTCTCTCAGCAGTAAGGGGTTTTTCCCTAGAGTTTTAGTTAAAGAATTACAGATGTCCTCTGCAGCAGAACATTTTAACAACCTGCAGAAAAAAAGAGAGAAAAATTCAATATGATTTTATTTAGGACTAATTTCTCATCCGTGATGTGCCCACACATAGTGCATTAACCCTACATAGTATTCAAGAATTTTCTGACTAGCAGAGAAGTGACTTAAAGAGAATCTGTAATTAGATAATGTGGTCTCTAAACTAACTTATACAGTATTTACTCATGCTTAGGATGCCAGGCAACCACATTAGCTTTACTGGCCTGAGCATTTTAGGTGAGTGCTGTGCAGAATTTATTAAAACTAAGGATCATTTTCTTTTCATCAATGCATGGGCTCACTTGGACAAAGACCTGACAATTTTCTTGCAACATAAAAAGCAAAAAAAAAGACAAAAAAAAACACTGTGCGAAGAAATGTGACCAACATTGTAGTACCTATATGATTGTTTCTGCAGTGAAAAAACTAGTCTTAAAGACTAGACTCTGGTTTTGATATACGCCTACAAATTGCTCACCTCAGTGTCTGTAGTTTATATTTTGGGTCTTTCTGTAAATCAATGAGCAGCTTCACTCCTTTATCTCCAGGATCGTTCCCTCTGAGATCCAGCTCTATCAGGTGTGATGAGGGATTTGATTTCAGAGCTGAAGCCAGAGCAGCATATCCTTCACCTTTGACATTATTATCACTGACTCTGAAAGACAATTAACATAACAGAAATGAAGAATGATAACACTTTGCTTTGCAAAATTCCTAGTATTTCTCTGTCATTGATGAGGTTAATTGATGAGGTCAATTGCATTGATACCATTTCACATTTAATCAAAACAGCACCCCAGCTTTAAGAACTTTGTTTTGAGATATTTACTGCTAAAGGTCTAACTGCTTGAGAATCATGTTTTCTCCTTCGTGATATCTTTACACAATATTTAAAGCACATAACATGAACATTCTAACCATAAAATATGTAACAGTATATAAAATTTCTACTTAACTTTTTTATTCGAGAACTTTAATATTATTAAGAAACAATTATTTTGGAATTCCACCAGAACCACTCCTGGAACTCCTACTGTACTTTAAGTTGTCCTATTAAATTTAATAATATTAATGTATCTATCAGGAAATTCGCTTACTTGAGTTTTTGTACCAGGCAGTTTGAATTCTTTAGTAGATCAGAGAGCTGCTTCACTCCTGAGTTTCCTACTTTATTCCCACTCAGATCCAACTCCATCAAGTGTGAGGGATTTAATTTTAGAGCTGAGGCCAAAGCACAACAGCCTTCCTCTCCTATATTACATTTACTCAGTCTGCAGAGAGAAAGAGAGAGAGAGAGAGAGAGAGAGAGAGAGAGAGAGAGAGAGGTTTGTCTATTTTGGGTGTCTTTTACTTTTAGTAGTAGTAGAATGCAGTGCAGATACACTATATAGCCAAAAGTATGTGAACACCAGACTATCACACCTATATGAGCTTGCTGGACAGCTCATTCCATTACCATGGGCATTAATATGGAGCTGTACCCCTTTGCAGCTATAAATGCCTCAACACTTCTGGGTAGATTTCCACAAGATTTTGGAGTGTGTCTTTGGGAATTTTTTGCCCATCCAGTCAAAAAAGCATTTGTGCAGTGAGGTACTGTAGCATTAACATTACCCTTCACTGGAACTAAGCAGCAGAGCCCAAACCCTGAAAAACAGCCCCAGCTCATTATCCCCCTCCACCAAACTTTACTGTTGGCACTGTGCATTCCAGCAGATAGTGTTCTCCTGGCATTCACCAAACCCAGATTCATCATCAGACTGCCAGATAGAGAAGCTGATTCATCACTCCAGAGAACACATTTCCACTGATCCAGAGTCCAGTAGCGGTGCTTTACACCACTCCATCCAACACTTGGCATTGCACATAGTGATCTTAGGCTTGTGTGTAGCTGCACTGTCATGGAAACCCATTTTGTGAAGCTTCCAACCCACAGTTCTTGTGTTGATGTTGCTTCCAGAGGCAGATTGGAACTCTGCAGTAAGCTATACACTTCAGCAATTGGCAGACCTGCTCTGAGAGTTAGTGTGGTCTACCACTTTGTGGATGTTGTTGCTCCTAGATGCAGATCTAGCAGGACAGAAATGTCATAAACTGACTTTTGGCAAAGGTGGCATCCTAAGACAGTGCCACATCTTCAGTGTGACCCTCTACTGCCAGTGTTTGTCTATGGGGATTGCATGGCTATGTGCTTGATTTTATACACCTGTTAACAATGAGTGTGGCTGAAACAACTCAATAGGAGGGGAGTCCACATACTTTTGGCATATAATGTGCCATATATATAAATAACCAATTTAGTATCAGATTTATGTATAAAATGATTGTAATATGCCCAGGTTTTATATAATTAGTAGAATACTAGGGAGCTGAAAATAAAACAGAAATGTTTTTTTGTCTAGAATGATGAACAGAGCTCTAGAAGATTTCAAAAACCCTGTGAAAGCTAGATAAAATAAAAAATTAAGTTATAATAAATTAATATTAAGATTTTATCATATTTCAAGTGGATATTAAATCTCATGATAATCGCAGATAATCTGACAAAAATTTAATTAAAAACTGAAGTAAATAAAATTAATAACTTTGTTCACAGCATTTTTGAAGTGTCGAATAAAACATCTAGAAGCACCATTTTGTTCAATATTTTGTCAAATTACATTCTACACTGTATTATTATTGTGTACAAATTAACAAAAAATAGTTACTATGGGAAGTGATTCCAATATTTTGAACGTTAGAATATATACATTATTTGCTGTAGATTAGAAACATTAAAGAATTAAGCATTATGGCAGATGCTACTTCACCTCATTATTTCAAGTGCAGACTGTGGATTCTTCAGTCCAGCACAGAGCTGCATCACTCCAGAGTCCTCCAGATTATTATTGCTGAGATCCAGCTCACTCAGGTGAGCGTCCTTTGAGTTAAGAACATTAGCTAGAGCTGAACAGCTTCCCTCCGTTAAGGCACATGTTTTAAGTCTAAATGAAGTCAGTCACAGAAAAGAAGAACAAGTAAATTATCAAGAACTTACTTTAGGCATTTGTGGGGTGACCAATCTACATACCACCACTTTCCCACATTTACTTCATTTTTCAAATATGCATTAATGATGCTGTAAGAGTTGATCTTACATTATAATCTTCAGATTACATTTTGGATTAGTCAGTCCACCAGCAAGGTCCAGCATTCCTGAATCCTGAAGATTATTGTTGCTGAGATCCATCTTTCTCACACTGGAAGATTCCAATCTGAGAACGCTGGCTAGAGCTGCACAGCTTTCCACGGTTATATTACACTTACTGAGGCTGAAGAGGAAATACAAGCTTTGAAATTCTTCAGTTAATTCTTAAATTATTTATTTAAAAAAAAACTTACAGCAGTTTTATTAGGGCCAATCATATTCATGATTTAGATTGTTCAAAAATATGTTTAACTAAGAAAGGTGTATAACAGTGAAATGTTGACTAAACTGCCAGTGTTAGCACAATGTCTAATAGCTTAATATATTTTTGTTCTATCAGATGCAAATGTTGCATTTTTACCAACAGCCAGTGATGTTCAACAACATGAACTGTAAAAAGTCTGGAAATTGTTGTGCTTTTTGGCGGTCCTGAAACACTCTGATTTCAAGTTTAATTACAAATTACACTGATTATTAGGATATTTTCTGTTTCGCACATGCATATCTTCATGTAGTCTTTTAATCATCATTCATTACTGTTCACATTAATTCAATTATTTTTTTTTCTGGAGAATACAACTTATAATAATACTTGATGCTGACCTCAGTGCTTACCACAACAATACATTCTTATTGACAAAACAAAATCATTAAAATAAGTAATACTAACCTAAGCTCCTGTATTTTACAGTGTGAATCTTCCAGTAAAGAGCAAAGCAGCTGTAGTTCTGAGTCTCCTTGTATTTTCCCACTCAGATCCAGCTCTCTGAGCAGTAAGGGGTTTATTTCTAGAACTTTAATCAGAGAATCACAGGCTTTCTCTGCATCAGGAGTGTTCAGAAACCTGCAGAAGAAAAAAATCTCACATTATTTATAATAATCACTTTAACAAAATGTGGATTTTGAAACAAAGCTGATAGTAACAAATCACCACTGACTGTGAAGAGGCTGAACAATCTGGTTTAACTTGGAAAGAAGGAACAGTTCTAATTGTGCTCTTTATTTACTGACAGTAAATAAATTATTTACAACAATGCTTGGTTAAACATGCAGATAGCCTCAACTAATGCGATATACCTTTTTACTACAAATGATATTTGAGACAAACAAACCAAAGAAAAAGAGTGAAAGGCATTCCTGATTTTGTGCTTAGTTTTTTTTTCTTAAAAGTCTTCATCAGAAGCAAAACACCATGAAAAAGTAAATTACTTAATTCTCTGGTACAAGAGCTAATATTCCATTGTTTGTAAAAATCTGACTGTGATCTCACTGTAAATCTATCGCCTAGCTAGGAGCCACAGCACTGAAAACTCCTGGGATCTGTGCCCCATAAAATCAACCATAAAGGTCTCAAAGGTTTCTACAAGATTTTGGAGAGAGTCTGTGGGAATTTTCGCTCATTCATCCAGAAGTGCATTTGTGAGGTTGTTGCTGTTAGATGCTTCCATTTCACATAACATAACAGCATTTACAGTTGTCTGGGGCAGATTTAGCAGGACAGAAATTTCACACACTAACTGGGGCAGAGGTGGCATCCTATGACAGTACCATGTTTAAAGCCACTGAGCTCTTCAGCACGACTCATTCTATTGCCAGTGTTTGTCTATCACAATTGCATGGCTATGTGCTTAATTTGATCCACGTTTTAGCAGTGGATGAAAAACCTGAACTCGATGGTTAGGAGGGGTGTCCATATACTGTTTGTATATATTCATGTATAGATTCTGTATAGATTCATATATATATATATATATATATATAAAATGTGTGTGTGTGTGTGTATAGAAAGATAAATATAGATAGGTGTGTGTGTGTGTGGGTGTGAGTTTCATACTGTGTGTGAGAGACTCTGATAGTGAGTGAGAGAGTTTGATAGTGTGTATGATAATGAGTGAGTTTAATATTGTTTGAGAGTTTGATAGCGAGTGGGATAGAGTTTGATAGTGAGTGCGAGAGAGTTTGATAGTGAGTGTGAGAGTTTGATAATGTGTGTGAGAGTTTAATAGTGAGTGTTAGAGAATTTGACAGCGAGTGTGAGAGTTTGATAGTGTGTGAGTTTGATAGTGAGTGTGAGAGAGTGTGTGAGTGTGAGAGTTTAAAAGTGTGTGTGAGAGAGTTTGATAGTGAGTGTGAGAGAGTTTGATAGTGAGTGCGAGAAAGTTTGATAGTGTGTCTGAGAGAGTTTGATAGTGTGTCAGAGAGTGTGTGAGTGTGAGAGCTTTGATAGTGAGTTTGAGTTTGATAGTGTGAGAGAGTTTGATAGTGAGTGTGAGAGTTTGATAGTGAGTGCGAGAAAGTTTGATAGTGTGTGAGAGTTTGATAGTGAGTGTGAGAGAGTTTGATAGTGAGTGCGAGAAAGTTTGATAGTGTGTGAGAGTTTGATAGTGTGTCTGAGAGAGTTTGATAGTGAGTGTAAGAGTTTGATAGTGTGTGTGGGAGAGTTTGATAGTGAGTGTGAGATTTTGATAGTGTGTCAGAGTTTGATAGTGTCTGTGAGAGTTTGATATGTGTATGAGAGAATTTGGTAACGAGTGTGAGAGTTTAATATTGTGTTTGAGAGAGTTGATAGCGAGTGTGATAGTTTGATAGTGTGTGAGAGTTTGATAATGTGTATGAGAGAGTATGGTAATGAGTGTGAGAGTTTAATAGTGTGTTTGAGAGAGTTTGATAGCGAGTGTGATAGTTTGATAGTGTGTGTGAGAGTATGATAGTGAGCGTGAGAGAGTTTGATATTGTGAGAGTGTATGATAGTGTGTGTGAGCGAGTTTGATAGTGAGTGTGAGAGTTAGATAGTGTGTGTGAGACTTTGATAGTGAGTTTTAGAGTATTTGATTGTGAGTGTGAGAGTTTGATATTGTGTGTGAGAGAGTTTGATAGTGTGTGTGAGAGAGATTGATAGTGAGTGTGAAAGTTTGACAGTGAGTCCGAGAGTTTGATAGTGAGTAAGAGGGAGTTTGATAGTGTGTATGAGAGAGTATGATATTGAGTGTGAGAGTTTAATAGTGTTTGAGAGAGTTTAATAGTGAGTGTGAGAGTTTGACAGTGTGTGTGAGAGTATGATAGTCAGCGTGAGAGAGTTTGATATTGTGAAAGAGTTTGATAGTGTGTGAGAGTTTGATAGTGTGTGTGAGTTTGATAATGTGTATGAGAGAGTATGTTAATGAGTGTGAGAGTTTAATAGTGTGCTTGAGAGAGCTTGATAGCAAGTGTGATAGTTTGATAGTGTGTGTGAAAGTATGATAGTGAGCGTGAGAGAGTTTGATAGTGTGAGAGTGTATGATAGTGTGTGTGAGCGAGTTTGATAGTGAGTGTGAGAGTTAGATAGTCTGTGTGAGACTTTGATAGTGAGTTTTAGAGTATTTCATTGTGAGTGTGAGACAGTTTGATATTGCGTGTGAGAGTTTGATAGTGTGTGTGAGAGAGATTGATAGTGAGTGTGAGAGTTTGATAGTGAGTCAGAGTTTGATAGTGAGTAAGAGGGAGTTTGATAGTGTGTATGAGAGTATGATATTGAGTGTGAGAGTTTAATAGTGTGTTTGAGAGAGTTTGATAGCGAGTGTGAGAGTTTGATAGTGAGTGTTAGAGAATTTGATAGTGAGTGTGAGAGAGTTTGATAGTGAGTGCGAGAGTTTGATAGTGTGTGTGAGTTTGATAGTGTGTGTGAGAGAGTTTGATAGTGAGTGTGAGAGAGTTTGATAGTAAGTGCGAGACTTTGATAGTCAGTGTTAGAGAGTTTGATATTGTGAGAGAGTATGTTAGTGTGTGAGAGAGTTTGATTGTGTGTGTGAGAGTTTAATAATGTGTATGAGAGAGTATGGTAATGAGTGTGAGAGTTTAATAGTGTGTTTGAGAGAGTTTGATAGCGAGTGTGATAATTTGATAGTGTGTGTGAGAGTATGATAGGGAGTGTGAGAGAGTTTGATATTGTGAGAGAGTACGTTAGTGTGTGAGCGAGTTTGATAGTGAGTGTGAGAGTATGATAGTGTGTATGAGAGTTTGATAGTGAGTTTTAGAGTATTTGAATGTGAGTGTGAGAGAGTTTGATAGTATGTGTGAGAGAGTTTGGTTGTAAGTTTCAGAGGTTTGATAGTGAGTGTTAGAATTTGATAGTGAGTCTGAGAGTTTAAAAGTGTGTGAGTGGGTTTGATAGTGAGTGTGAGAGTTTGATAGTGAGTCAGAGAGTTTGATAGTGAGTGAGAGAGAGTTTGATAGTGTGTGTGAGAGTTTGATATTGTGTGTGAGAGAGTTTGATAGTGTATGTAATAGAGTTGGATAGTGTGTGTGAGTTTGATTGTGTGTGAGAGTTTGTGTGTGCGAGAGTTGGTAGTGTGTATAATAGAGTTTGTTAGTGTGTGAGAGAGTTTGATAGTGTGTGAGAGAGTTTGATATTGTGTGCGAGAGTTTGATAGTGTGTGTAATAGAGTTGGATAGTGTGTGTGAGTTTGATAGTGTGTGACAGTTTGATAGTGTGTGTGAGAGAGTTTGATAGTGTGTGTGAGAGTTTGATAATGTGTATGAGAGAGTATGGTAATGAGTGTGAGAGTTAAATAGTGTGTGTGAGCGAGTTTGATAGTGAGTGTCAGAGTTTGATAGTGTGTGTGAGAGTTTGTTAGTGAGTTTTAGATTATTTGAATGTGAGTGTGAGAGAATTTGATATTGTGTGAGAGCGTTTGATAGTATGTGTGTGAGAATTTGGTTGTAAGTTTCAGAGGTTTGATAGTGAGTGTGAGAATTTGATTGTGAGTCTGAGAGTTTAAAAGTGTGTGAGTGGGTTTGATAGTGAGTGTGAGAGAGTTTGATAGTGAGTCAAAGAGTTTGATAGTGAGTCAGTGATAGTTTGATAGTGTGTATGAGATAGTATGATATTGAGTGTGAGAGTTTAATAGTGTGTTTGAGAGAGTTTGATAGTGAGTGTGAGAGTTTGATAGTGAGTGTTAGCGAATTTGATAGGGTGAGACAGTTTGATATTTTTTGTGAGACAGTTTGATAGTGAGTGTGAGAGAGTTTGATAGTGAGTGCGAGAGTTTAAATGTGTGTGTGAGTTTGATAGTTTGTGTGAGAGAGTTTGATAGTGAGTGCGAGAGTTTGATAGTGTGTGTGAGTTTCATAGTGTGTGTGTGAGAGTTTGATAGTGAGTGTGAGAGAGTTTGATAGTGTGTCAGTGATAGTTTGATAGTGTGTATGAGATAGTATGATATTGAGTGTGAGAGTTTAATAGTGTGTTTGAGAGAGTTTGATAGCGAGTGTGAGAGTTTGATAGTGAGTGTTAGCGAATTTGATAGTGTGAGACAGTTTGATATTGTGTGTGAGAAAGTTTGATAGTGAGTGTGAGAGAGTTTGATAGTGAGTGCGAGAGAGTTTGATAGTAAGTGCAAGGGTTTGGTAGTGTGTCTGACAGAGTTTGATAGTGAGTGTGAGAAAGTTTGATATTGTGTGTGAGAGAGTTTGATAGTGTATGTAATAGAGTTGGATAGTGTGTGTGAGTTTGATTGTGTGTGAGAGTTTGTGTGTGCGAGAGTTGGTAGTGTGTATAATAGAGTTTGATAGTGTGTGAGAGAGTTTGATAGTGTGTGAGAGAGTTTGATAGTGTGTGCAAGAGTTTGATAGTTTGTGAGAGAGTTTGATAGTGTGTGTGAGAGAGTTTGATAGTGTGTGCGAGAGTTTGATAGTGTGTGTAATAGAGTTGGATAGTGTGTGTGAGTTTGATTGTGTGTGAGAGTTTGATAGTGTGTGCAAGAGTTGGTAGTGTGTATAATAGAGTTCGATAGTGTGTGGGAGTTTGATAGTGTGTGCGAGAGTTTGATAGTGTGTGTGAGAGAGTTTGATAGTGTGTGTGAGAGTTTG